AGTTGGCAACAATGCGTTCACCGATTATCTTAGCTCACTGTGTTAAGTGAGGACGATGATTTGACACATACTCCACAAAATCAGTCTATGGGGGTTTTCACGCAAAGTCATGGACACCTCTTGCAGTGCTTGAAGCCAGACATAGCGTGATCCATATGTATCTATACTGTGATCTGATCTATATGTATAGGATCCATGATACCAAATATGACCGGGGGCCTCTGAGATCGTCCCCTAATGGCCGCTTTTTTAGACCGGAGCTCCCTTCGAAGTCAATGGCACGGAGATGTCCTCTAAGAAAAACAGCATTTTCAAAAGAAGGGAGACTGGGGGTGGGAGACGGTGGGTTCGAGCCTGGCTGGCGGCGCGGGGTGGAGCCGAGTCGTTACCCGCTACCATCCGAGTGTAGTCATCTGTGGCAGCTTCATAGGGCACTCCGAGCGTCGATAATCGAAGGATAAGAAGTGAATCGTGGGCTGTAAGCAATGTGCAGGCCTACCCGCATGACACGAGGGCAGGTTCGGCAGGCTAACGTGGCGTTCACGAGTATTGGCCAACAGAAGCTCATGTTGTCCTCCCAAACGAATGGTTATGCCTGTGGAGAAAAACTGTCTTCAGCATATGATAGCAAATACAGTTGTGCTCGTGCAGATAAAATTTATGCAGATAAATGCGAATATTGCGTAGTGATCCTTGCACATGCGAGGCCATGCGTTCAATAAAATCTGACGAACATGGCGTAATAATGAAGTGCGAAGCAAGGCATTGGGTGTATGGAAAAGTGCGATACAAGGAGCTGCATTTGTGAAGGGTTGGGTACCCATCAGGAGAACCACCACCGAACGAAATGCTCATTCGGGGTCCCACGAGCATGCAGCTTACGCATGGTAATCTTTGCGTACGAACATTTACGTATTTTAAGTGCCAACATTTGTGTGATCAGATTTATATGACGAGGGTTTGTGATGCGAAGATGCCCGCACGAAGTTCTGTGCATGAGGAAATACGTTATATCTCGTGCCCACGAAGCTACAAAGACGCAAAGGTGACCTTCTCGCCGCGACAGGGGACAGATGTCAGGGGAAAGGCCGAAGCCTTCAAAAGCCGATGTAAGATGTAACGGAGTCCTCCGCAGTCGGAAGATGACACCATGCCTCTGTGGTCCGCTGACAGGTGACGTCACAGCCGGCAGGCCCGTGCAGCCGAGAAAGGTCCAGACGGCCGATAGATGACACCGGAGCTGCCTATAGGTGGCACTTGAAAGATCTAATCTTCCGGCAGGAAAGCCCGAGATGCGGATCAGTGGTGTAGCTTGCCATTCAGTTAACAAGCTCCAGCTCTCCCCACCCCATTCCCATCCCCACCCACCCTCTTGGGCTCCAGCCCTGCCACCCAACTTTAGGGGAAAGTGGACCAAAATCGAGGATAGGCAGTAGGAGCTTGTCGGCGTATTTTTGGGGTTGATACGTTTTTGTTTTGCTTTGTTTTATTTTTTCTTGCTTAGCCCCGGCCGGTTTTGCGAAACCACGCCCCTGCTGTGGATGCGTATCAACAGGAGGACCAGACCTGCCCATGGGTGACATCAGGTGCTAGGTCTACGCTACCAAAAAACAACAAACAAGAGCCTGTAAGCCACGATACGCCGACAGATGGCAGCAGCACGTGACGAACTGCCGCGAGTCGTCCCCGGAACGCTGCGGCACTGGATGACGCCGGGTGGCCTGACCTCCGCCCATGACGGCAGCGGCCGGCGCGATGGCCGCCGCCGTCACGGCTGACGGCCTGCCCGCCGGCCCGGCCGCCTGCCCAGCTCGCCGGCGGCTGCACAGCTCCGCCCCGCACCGCCCGGCCGGCGTGCGATCACAATCGTCCCTCATATGCATACAAAGGTGACGCGCGCGCGCGCAGCAAAAAGGCCCGCGCCTTTCCCACGGTGCGATCGCGCGGGCGCCGTGGCAGCCTGTCGTGTTGCGGCGCAGCTCGGCATTGGAGCGCACGCCGCCCGAGGCGAGACGCTGTCGTGGGAGTGGATTCGCTCCTCCGATGTGTAGGCTTCGGAACGGACAGGCTTTTAACATTGACGTGATCGCGGCGTGCTTAGATATTGGTTTTATCAGCGTGGCTACTGCACGCCGCCCGCGCTGGTCGTGGATCGCCGTGTAGTGTTGAGTGCAGTGCAGTGCATCGTTTCTTAAAACACCGTCGCTTCTCGGGAACCGGAAGCGTCAGCGACACGTTTTTGTGCGTCAAAACAAGCGCAGTGGATGCCCCAGAGGCTGCCGAAAATTTGGGCGCGAATAGATTCTTTTGTTTTAAGTCACGCGATTGCATGACATGCGTCTAACCCGCTCTCTCGCCCTACCTGGACGAGGGTTAATCTCATACAAGGCTGATCCTGTTTGGGAGTAAAATCCTCTCAGAACAAGCCCAAGTCTTGTGAATACAGGACCGGAAGACCGTCATGTTTGCTTTAAAAGAAAATCCGCACGCTAAAAATTTTGGTAAAAGAAATGTCCAAATTCAGCACATGTCAGAATGGTATATCAGAGTTTTACACAAGCTGACTCGTCTGAGCATGGTCGTTAACACTTGCTGCCGCTGCTGCTAGGCGCTTCACCATTCCAATAACCAAGGTAGGTCAATGAACATCCGTATCCAAAACCGACCTAAATCAGCGTGTTCAACATTTATTTAGCCGTAGACAAGTCAGGTCCGGTGGACTGCAATGGATTGTAAAATACATCGGATTGTTTCAGACCGTTTCCTTTTCTGGTTGGCTGGTCGCCGCAGAACTGATGCACCGAAACGAATGTATGTCACGGCGCTGCCGATAGATGACACCAGGAGTATGAAAAACTGCAGGCTGAAGACAGCTGACAGGACGCGCGGAAGGCCGCAGTTGCCGAGAGACGTCCAAGCTGCTGATAAATGATACCAAAAGCCCTAGACTGCCTGAAGATGGCGCCAAGGAGGTCTGAGCTTCCTTAAGGAAAACACCGGGGAAGCCTGAGCTGCGCATACCTGCATGCCAGAGGGGGGGGGGGGGGGGGTAGAGCCGCCTGAAATGTAGAACATTACAATGGCAT